CATTTGTACATAGATCCAGGCCCAGCGTGCATGACAATTCTGGCCCCAGATGTGGCAAGAAGCCAAGAAGTACTCACATCACAGAAACACCTGCCAGATACGTGCGAGTGCTGCAAGAAATAGGTTCAGAGTGTGCAAGCACAGTGAAGAAGCTCTAGAAAAAAAGCTCAAGGGTTAATGCAAAATCTAATCTGCAAGTCCTCCAGGGGTCAGGAACAATCGCCTCTGAGAAGTTAAGCTATTTGCCACCTACCAGCAGTGAGGACTGGGCAGGAAGGGACCACAGTGCAGAGGTCTGAGGTCATCACCCAGCCTGCTGGGAGTTTTTCTGGATCCCAAAAACTGGCACTCCTGGGTAAGACAGCCTGGTGGGTAAGGGAGCTGCAACAGGAATGCATTGCCAGATTTCAGGAAAATAGCAGGGCTCTCCCCAGTGACAGAGGGAGAGTGGAGCCCTACTATGGCTTGGCTTTGACTTGGTTGCTTTGCTCACACACACGGGGAAGTGGCCGAGGGTCACCAAAGCAGCACAAGCCAGTTTTGCCAGCACGACACAACACTATCAGTACAGCACTGCAACCCAGCAGTACCATGAAAGCATTCCCATCAGAAGAACAAACTGAGTGTGTAAAGCTTGGGATTTAAACCACACGAACAAAGCACATGTGCACAGAAACATGAAGCTTCTAGTTTTGAGTCCTTTACTTGGAATTTGCAATGTATGAACAAAGCAGGGTGGCGAGCGCAGGCTTCCCATTCCTGAATCAGCACCCAAGCCAGACACCACTACTCATCTCAACTTGGTTTGGCCTCCCACAAGCCAGATGAAGGTACGCAGAAGATGTCTCAAACTAAACCTACTCCTGCTAGCGTTCAATGACCTGACTTTGCTCTTCCTTCACAAGTTGTTAGGCTGACTGTGACTGACACCACAGGGCCGGGCCAGCTCCATGTATGGGAGCTGCATTCTGCTGCAGTCCGGGATGGACATAGAGTTCACTTTCATGGAAGGAGCACAGAACCACCATTTTGATACACTGAGCACCACAGCGGTTTACAGAATCATAGAATCACAGAATGTTTTGTGGAAGGGACCTCTAGAGGCCATGTGTTCCACCCCCCCTACAATAAGCAGGGACATCTCTAACTGGGTCAGGTTGCTCAGAGCCCCATCAAGCCTGACCTTGAATGTCTCCAGGGATGGGGCTTCCACTACCTCTCCGGGCAACCTGTTCCAGTGATCTACCACTCTCATACTAAAGAACTTTTTCCTAATGTCCAACTTAAAGCTACCCTTTTCTAGAATAAAACCATTACCCCTTGTCCTATCACTACAAACCCCTGTGAATAGTTCTTCCCCTGCCTTCTTATAGGACCCTTTCAGGTACTGGAAGGTTACTTCAAGGTCCCCCCCAAAACCTTCTCTTCTCCAGGCCGAACAACCCCAACCCTCTCAGCCTGTCCTCACAGGAGAGGTGGTCCAGCCCTCTGATCACCTTCATGGCCTCCTCTGGACATGCTCCAACAGGTCCATGTCCTTATTGTGCCACGGGCTCCAGAGCTGGACGCAGTACTCCAGGCGAAGTCTCACCAGGGCAGAGTAGTTTGGAGTGTCAAAGAGAAAACCAGCCTCGTCATACAGCAATTACATTTTGCAACAGACAAACCCTGGCACAAGGGATGAGGTTCCCTATTAATGCAACCACATATCCTCCATCGTGAGGCAAATTCATAAACCAGAGGCTTTAAGTAGCTTCAATCTCCTCTGCCAGTGAGAAATGACTTGAACTTCCATTTAGATGCTGAACTACCTTCGCAAATTGCTCCCACTGCCCACAATTACAACCACTTGGGTGACGGTCACCTGCTGCTCCTAATCTATCTAACACCAGGGAGGAATGAATAGCAGACAGAAAAGTCACAACTGGAAAACACAGAAATCAGTTAAAGATTGTTTCTAGTTCCAGGATTCAACAGCTTTAGTTTTACAAGGTAATACTAAATCATGTATTATATAAAATTAAATGCCACTAAATGTAATTCTTTATTTGGTAATTTGTAATACTCTGAACCTAAAGTTCAACCTTAGCAACTGATACAAGCACAGACTACTCAAAATGGACATTAAGTGCAACAATAACCAACAGGGGAGTTGACAGCTTAACGAGGAAGGTCTTTCACTATTGTAGTACAGCGCTGTAGCTGGAGATTTCTTTCGAGACTTCTGCTACTCCAATCACGCAAGAGAGATTATAACATCTTCTTACAGGAGAAAATAAATTGTTCTGCAACACGAGATCAGGGCTAAATGATCTTCTGTTAAGAGCTTCAGTGAGCAGACTATCAAAATTTGTGTCCTGAATCTATCAGTGCTTAAATACTGATCTAAATTCTTCTCAAGCTTTCAAAACAGCAGCACTCAAAAGTAGCCTCCAACCATTTAGAAAGGAAAGCAACAGAGACAGCACTCTCATTTCAGTTCTTTCAGTCCAGAAATGCACACACACTCCTACCAACTACCGTGTGTTGTCCTTTGTAACCAACAATTTGCCAGCTGCTTCCCCAGGCAAGGAAGTTAGTGTTTGGTATTCAGAGCATTTGCAGATGTTAGGGCTGCGCAAAGACAACCTCCTGCTATTCCAAAGAAAAAGCAGCCCTCTGGCCCACACCTACTGCCGTTACAGGAAAGTACCAGTAGCTGTAAGCAGTGATAACTCCTAATATCCTACCCACAGCTAACAGCGTAACGCATTTAGAGATGCAAGATGTAGCAAACAACCCAAAAGCTTCAGCTTTGAACATCACAAAAATCAAGGGGGCAAAAAACATTGAAGGATTTTTCTGTTATCGAAGAGCTAAATAAAGTAGCATGTGGCAACTCCAGCACCGGCCGAACACAGCTCTCCAGATCTCACTGCATTCTGTTGCTGGCCCTGTAACCCGCTGATACAATGCCTGCTGCAAATAAAAAATACGTGAGCCTTGGGGGTTTGCAGGATTACAGTTTCATTATCACGCAGGCTCCAGCTTTTGCCCATTTGATCAAAAATGAGTAGAAGGTTGTATCGAGTCCTTCACAGACCCCTAAAGTCAGTACTGAGCAGCACAAAGGACATTAGAAAAGCAACTGACACAGAAAAATATGCCTTTACCTAACTTAGCTATAGTTATTAAAAAACTACAGAGAAGATACTGATGTCAAAAAGCACAAAATCAGTGTCTTAGGAGCCCTGGACAAGTTCTACTCACATAAGGCAAGACACTTTTTGATGGACAGAGAAAGCTTCCCCGACCGCTCCAACTAATATTATCAATAAAAGCAAGAGCAGCACTGGTAAAGCTAATCTGTAACCACCACGCAAAATCTAAAATGCCAGAATCAGACCAACACCTGAGTGATTCTCTGCTTAAATCATAATTATCTGGGGCTTCTTTTCATAGAGACAGAATCTTCAAGGCAGACGTTTTTACTCGCTCCTTACTTTAAAGGGTCCTATACTTCACCAAAAATTGCGCACACAAAAAAAATTCCTTTTCACAAGTGGAAGACTCATGTTCTGAAGTAAGCCTACAAGTTTCCCTGTAAATCAACCCCCCTCCTTTAAGTGACACACTTCTATGCTCGTGTTAGGAAATGACACTCACCTACAACACACAACATCCAGACTTCAAATAAGATTGCACGCGAATTTCATGCAACCCCGAAGCACCAGGAACGCAGTTCTGCCACCTGATGTCAGAACCCTACAAGGCTTTTGTATGACAGCCCTGCGATCCTGTAAGCTTCAGCTATTCTCACCTGGTAGGACATTGCATTTAAACCAGGAAAAAAAAAAACACAGGAAAATCAGGGACAAACTACCTGGTGGCCGAGATGAAGAGTGTGCATCAGAAAAGAAAATCTGTAGCAGAATTACAGACAGAATTTATCTGGGCACAGGAAAGACTTAGACTTTCCCTTGCAGAAAAGGTATGACTGACACTTTCTCTCAGAAAAGCTGCAGTGGTACAGTTCTTTGCCATTTCTCCAGTCAATGAAGGGTATTCCTACAGCCCGGCAAAGGCAGGGAAATAGGGAAGTCGCTACTACGGCCCATGGCTCTTCTCAGAGTTTTCAAGCAGCCCAGGCAGCAGTGCTGACGTGAAAAGCAAGAGCAGCGGAAGCCCCTACTCTCTGCTTCCTCCTCCAGCTTGAGGCAGCGAGGGTGTTATTGCCGGGAACTGCTGCCCTCTGCTGTCGCACGAAATAGAGGCGAAATTCTCAGCTGACAAAACCAGGTTTACAGCTGCAGATGAACAAAACCAAAATACACCGTGGCAATAGCCACGAGGTCACAGGGCATTCAGATTTCAGCTGGGTCCACCCAGGCCCCTCAGTTCTGGGCTTTAGCATTTATAAAACACCTGCTCCCTCTTGCAGCATATCCGGAGAGGCATCTTGCAAGCCAAACTCAGCCTGAACAATGATTTTTACCCAGCCCATCACCTTTGTTGCAGCTGTTTCAGGAGTAAAAGCACTCAACAAAACACCTCTTAGTGTCTGCAGCAGACTGTGAACACCACCAGGGAAAGTGCCAGCAGACATCCTGCCCCCAGCACAGGGCTCGGACTAGACTGAAGGAATAAAATGCATTACTGCCACCCCTGTGGGGCATACATGGTTCTCTCCTGGTCTCAGCCTTCGCAGTGGCAGTGCCACTGGCAAGCTTTGCCAACCATTTTGAACGCTGCCTGGGTGGGGAAGCCTGAGTGAATTTACAGGTGTGTTTAAAGTTGAGCAAAGACTGTGGCTGAGGTCTGCATATAAGGATACTCTGCAGCCTTCAGGCAGAAAAATCTTGGCCTTGTTTTCCCTGAGGTCTCTATGTGTTCATAATAAAAAGAAGGGTAAAGGAAAAAGAGGCAGATACACCATGCTTCACAGCACATCTCCAGCCTTCCAGCAGAAAAGCAGCACCAAGTTTGCTCTGAGCCAACCTTTGACATATCTGCCAGCTTACCTGACCTCCTCACCAGCGAAATCGAACACTTTGGTGATTGTCACTTTTCCTGAATCTTTTGGCTTCTCAGACTCTTTTGGCTTCTCCTGAAGCTTCTGCCCACCCTTCTCTTCTTCAGCCTGTGAAACACACAAAGGAGGAAGCAAAACAATGCATTTGGGGAGCGAAGCCAAATTATCACTCCAAGGGGCTGAGAACCCAACACAGACCTCAGGTAGCACTGCAGTTTAAGATGGCTGGTCAAAGCATATCACCCACAGACAAGAAAAGGAAACAAACTCCCCACTCTGGTTCCAGGCTCTCAGTGGGGCTCAAAGATCAAAACAGACCCAAAATGAGAAGTGAAACTGTAATTAAATGTAGGAAGGAGCAAGAATACGCTGCTGTGGTTCAAGCAAAAGCCCGAAGACTCACTTCTCCCAAACGAAGCACCACCAGGCAGTAAAGTTGCCAGGGTGGATTACAGAAATACGTTGT